GCATCTTATGAACCATCTCTTTCAGCTGATATGACGGCATCTTATTAGCCGTCTCGCCTACAGTCCGATTCTGTGGCTGTGGTGCTTTGCCCACTGATGATGGCATCTTATTAGCCATCTCTTTCGCAGTCCGTTCCTGCGTTCCTCCTTTATCCGGTGGTTTCGGTTGCGGAGGATCAGTAGGCTCACCGGCACCTACTGATCTTGGCCGTTTCCCTGATCCAGCATCTGCTGCTGCTGCTGGACTTGTTCATTTCTCTGGCCAGCGCCGTTCGCGCCGCCGCCGTCGTTATTATCGGCGCGTCCGTTGCCGCCGCCGTTCCGGTTGCCATATCCGCCGCGTCCATTGCCGCGACCTCTTCCGCGGAAGCCACCTCTTCCTCCGCCGTTATATCCGCCACCGCCACCATTTCCGTTGCCCTGGCCGGCGCCGCCACCGTTCCCTTGTTTGAACGCGGCCCATCGCGCGACCAGGTCGTAGCCGTTCGCTACCGCTTGTCGCCAGCCGCCTTGAGCTCGCAGCCGTTCCCATTCTCGGGTGGCGAACAAGTTTGGATTCCGGTTTGGTGGCATACCAGCGAACATGCAGTTCTGTGCATCGTGGTTACCGAATCCACAATTTTGGCACAGCTGCACGCCCTGGGCGATCCATCCATCAATTTGACCGAATTTCCGTTCCGTTCGAGATCCCTGCGGCTGCTGATAGTTACCGCGGTTCTCCTGATAATTTCCTTGTCGGTTATTGGGCTGATAGTTGCCCTGCCCCTGATTTCGGTTGAAGTTGCCATTCCGTTGGCCACCGTTCCAGTTTCCGTTTCCGTTTCCGTAATTGGACCTTCCTTGTATTTGGGGCACCCCTCCCTTCAGGGGACTCGGCATAACATTTGCCGGGGCCATTGGCCTTGCCTGCGCCTGCGCTTGTATCGCAGCGACCATAGCATACGAGATCGGCTGCCCAGTTTGGCTGTCGATAAATGTCATCTCCTTGCGCGTTGGGGATGGCGATCTCGTCTGGTATTCCACAGGGGACGGTGTGGGTGCGTATTGTCGCTGTGCTATTTCAGCTTGGCCCGACCGGATGGTTGCGATCTCCTGTTGGTTGCGTTGACCTTCCACCACTTTATATTTGTCCTCGCCAGCTGTCCACGATCGGAAGAAGTCCTTTATCTCCGTTGGCGTTTTGAATTCTCTTATTTTCAGGGCTTTATATAGATCGGGATCAGTTCTGCATCCGTCGATCAGAAAGGCGACTGCCTGTAGTTCAGTAATGGCCCTTTTTGCCTTGAACTTCATCATTGCCTGATAGAACTGTTCGGGTGTTTCTTTTCCTGGTTTAAATTTCCTGTTCATGGCTTCGCGTAAGCCGAGAACTTCTTCATTTCGATCACCAAACTCATCTTTAAACTTGTTCAACCATTCCGTGACGGTGTAAACCTCCTCTTCAGCTTCTTCGATGTCTCTTTCGGCATCGAACCAGGTCTTTGCTGGTCCTCTAACGGCGCTGGCGATATCGATCAGTATCTGATCATAAGTCATATCGTATGTCCGTTGTGTTTCTCTTATTAATCGGATCCATCCGCTTAGCGCATCACGGTTGCCGTCAAAAGTCGCAAGATCAGTTTTGCGACCCATGTTTCTGATGGATCTGTTAAATTCCCGTTGTCCTCGATTTTCATTCCGATCTTCTCTTTGGTTGCGTTTGTTACGATATTCCTGGAAGAATCTTCCGTCGTGTTCGTGTCGCGGGGAACGTGCATCTTGATTTGCGCCGTCCTTAACCGCTGTTTCGATGGGCCGTTGAAACTGTGAGGGTTCGTCTGAGCTCATATGAGGTTGGCGACTACCCGACGGGTTCCTATTATCCGAAGTTTCCCCATCCTTTTCCGCTTTGAAGCCTCCTGTGCCGCCGCCCGTTCGTAGCGGCATCTCAAAGTGGAAGCTCCCGCCCGCTTCTTGTGCCTTACTGTAGCTGGGCGGGGGCGTATCAGCCGTATCCCTTTTTCCACTTCCTCTTTGCAGGAGTAACTCTTCCCTGTGCTTGTTTGTTACCTGCAGACCTTTATTCTCATCTTCGAGGCGTTTAACTCGAAGACTGAGCTGCTCGTACTCCTTTTTCAATTTATCTCGCTCCTGCTTAAGCATGTGGGCGAAGTTCTGCCGCTGAATCGTTTCGTCGTTCAACTCTTTTTCATCTGTTTTCCTCTGTTGGATCTGCTCAATCAGCTGGTTCATTTGCTGCTCCAGTTGCGCATATGCATCAGCTGCCGATTTCAGATGAGTTCTCGATTGAGTAACTTCATCTTGGTGTGTCATCGCTGTTTGTGTCATATCGACCAACTCCGTGTTGAGTTTTATGTTCTCGTCTGTCAGCTCACGGATCTTTTTCTGATGTTCTTTGCTTTCCACTTCGACTTTTGTCACCTTCGTATCTAGTCGTCGTGCTTCATCTTCCCATCTTTGGCCCCATTCGGCCGCTTTCTGACCAGCTTCTTTGAGCTGGGCGTTCTCCTCAGTGACCTGCTTAATCTCATCTTTAAGTCGTCCGCCTTCAGTAGCCAAAAGATTTCGTAGATCATGTGCTACTTTAACAGCATCATCAGCTCGTTTCTGGTGATCTGCCGATTCCTTTTGGAGCGTTTCGATATTCTCATCTCTTGACTTCAAGTCATTCCTGAGCTTGAACATGTCCTTATTCACCGTTGATAACCGTTTGGTCGCTTCAGCCAATTTTGTCGCGTATTCGGTTCGTTTCTCTTCTGCTTCGTCTGCCTTTTTACGCAGTTCGTCACACTGATCCTTCAGTTCGGCTATGTGCCGTGACCTTTCGGCTGTCTCTTCGGACATGCTCTCGTTAAGTTCATTTACGGCTATATAGCCTTCCATCTCCCTATCATCGGCTATTTTCACCGACTCTTCCGCGATCTGTACTTGGCGTTGATATCGAACTTTCCACTCTTCCGCCGTATTCTCAAGGACAGCCTGTTGCTGTTCCAGTTCGTATATACGCGTCTGTAGCGATCCCACTTTATTCTGATATTCTTGCTTCTTCTTAATGACTTGAGCTTCCTTTTCTTCCAATGAAGTCTCAAGTTCTCTGACTCGTCGTTTCAGGCTGGAAGTGGGGCTGTTCGGAGATGGGGATCGTACATTGACGATCTTTCCCGTCTGATTCCTTTCAATCAGACTTTCGGGGATGTCCTCAAAAGGTGTCAATCCCTGAGCTCGATCAGCTTCCTTCATGGCCGTTTTAAACGACATATTCAATGTCATCTCATCTTCAGTGAAGTATGATTCTTCATTTCCGCGATTAGACATCATCTCATCAGATGCCATTGGACTCTCGAAGATGTCCTCAGTTGTTGTTTCGTCTCCAAGTGTGAGATCATCTAGCCTAAGTTCGTTGAGGTCATCTGATGTGATCTTTAGCTGCTCGGTGAGATCGTTTTTAACCAGGTTCTCCTTCTTATCCTGGTCGGTTATGTCGTTTTGCGATGTCAGATCCATCTCTGCAGCTCGTTCCGATCTCGTTCCTTCTTTGGTGACCTCCTGGTTCACCTCGCTGCTTCCCGCCGCAGACGCGGGAGATCGTTTCAGATCATCACTGGAGCTCTCCTGAGCTGACACTGCTTCGAGTGCCTTTTGATATGTCGCTTCCGACCCACGTGAATCTTTCTTCACGGGGACTTTCGGTGCTCGAGTGTTTCAATCATGTCCAACTGGACGCGAGTACGGGTACAAGTCTTTTTTGTACGGATTATGTGCGCCTTGCTGTGACCCGTGAGAGCTACGGCTCCCCTGACTGCTGTTAGATGTCGGTTCGATGATCTCTTTATCCATGGTGATCGGATAACTGTGACGCACCTGCTGATTTTGCTCACACACACGTTATAATGAGATCGTTTAAGTCCCTGAGATCGCTTTTTAGCTGATCTGATTCGGTCAAGTTCGATTTTAAAGGTCACTTTTTCGATAAAAAGATCGAGAGGTTTGCCTCAAAATTGATCTCGTTCACTGCTAATATCAATAAAACTGCTGGAAAGATCGTTTAGAGTTCGTATCCGATTGAAATAGATGATCTCAGCTCAGTTGTAATGGTCACTATCTGATCTGATCTGATCTCAAAGGTCACTGATGATCTCGAGATGATCGATCTCTGAGATGGTCACTTTTTGGTCACTTCAATTCAATTAAAATCACCTTCCTTTAGTTAATTTCAGATCATTTCCGATAAAAAAAGATCGTTTTCACTGCTGGGAGATCGTTAGGAGATCGTTTTAGATCGATTTTACCGTTAGAAATTTCGACCAATCGGAATTCGTTTAACTGACCAATCACGTGTGCCCGTTAAAATTTTCTGACCGGCCTGACGTCACAGATCGACGGCCAGACTTGCGCACCGTGTGCAAAAGCTACGCCTACGTCTAGCTCAGCTCAGTACCGACCAATGAGAATTGCGCTTTCTACGTTTCAACCAATCCGATAATTAATAACGGTTTTTACCTGTCTACCGTTCCGATCCCGCGAAAAGATGATCCAGATTACGGAGATGATCCAGATGATCTTCTCCACAGTCCGATCCCGCGCAGCCGTATTCCGCACGGTTGTGGCGCCTTCCTGTCCGACCTATTCAGCCTTCTGCTGGGCTTGTCAAGCCTACCAGCAGGTCGCTCTACAACCAATTTGATGGAGCGCGTTAACTGATATCTTGGCACCTCATTCGGTGCTGCCAACTCGTGGCTTCTCGGCTCTTGTGCCCGACAGCCTTGACCCCAACAAGAGGTGCCCGCTGCCTAGCAGAGGAAACAGCACAAGTTCTCCGACAGGAGAGCTCTTGCACCGCAGCCTTCTGCCGTCTGAGTCGATGTGCACGACGAGTTCTCCTACAGGAGACTCTCTAGTCAGTGCTGCCTTGAGAGCTGGTAATCCGATAGATGGTTGCGCCTTGCTTCAGATGAGGAAAACCAGTGCCTTACTGGTGAAATGAGATCAATGAAATCAAGATGATCCAGATCAATATGGCCGTTCGCCAAACAGGTAGAATGTGGCCGTTCGCCAAACAGATGAAAACTCAGAAACCGTCTGTTCACGGCTCTGCTACCATATCACCGTGGACTGTGAAAGAGTCCAGGACGGAAGCCCAGACTGACAGGACTCCGTAGAATGTAGAACGTGTCGTACAAGGGATGAAATGCGCAACGCACGATATCCAGACTACGTTATACAATTTAATAAAGTCTCCGATCGAGAACCAAAAACACACTGACGTTCAGTCAACTCAGAGAGCCAAATTCCACCTGCTCTCGACAACTCTAAAGCACTGCGCAGCAGTGAACACAATGAACGGCAGTAGCCGACCAATCAGAGAAGCGCTGCGTCACAGACGGCAATTCCCCACGGAGTAGTGCAACGAAGCACTCCCGTAGCGCCAGTAGCGTCACGCAGGTGGACGCAAGGGAGCCATCGTCTCACACAGGCTTCCACCTGAGCGCCGCGGTGATCCCGCCGCACTCTGGCGCCACTGCCAACAACGTGCTGAACGCGGCGCTGCAGACGGTGTTCAACGTGGCCGTCACCTTCGACCGCTGCCGCATCACCTCCTGCAGCTGCACCTGCCGTCGCGCCTCCCCCAGCGCCAGCACGACCTGGTGCGCCCACGTCGTCGCCGTCTGTCTGCAGCGCATCCACCAGGTACCGCGCCGTCTTTACATGTGTTATGCATAAATCAATCTGTTCTGTCGAACGCCAAAATCCCATTCATCCTGCTGCTGTTTTAGCCCCATTCAGCCATGCTGCGCGCCTCTCTCTCCGAGTCCCTCGAGCGTCTCAGTCTGTACCAGCTGCGCAAGTTTGCCCAGTACTTCATCAGTGAGCTCCCTCGGCAGGTCAGCCACTTTGCACTTTGAATTTTATATATTAATATTTTTGCATTAATTTTAGCGTGCATGAAAGTTCTACACAGTTGAATGAGCATTTTAATTGGTTTGTATATAATTAATCAATTTATTGCAGGTTCTGCCGACGGCGCAGCAGCTGCTGGACCAGCTGCTGATCAGCGCCTCCAGCATCAACGGCACGCACGGCGCCCCCGACCCCACCGCCGGGCCCTCGGCGCACGACCACAGCAGCTGGTGCCTCAACGAGGACGGCCTGCACGAGAACATCCGCAACCTGCTCGTCAAGTTCTGCGTGCCCACGCCCCTCGTCTGCAGGTGCGTCCGCGCTGCGTCTGCTGCGTTGTACACGATGCACTGACGCTTTTTGTTGAATACAGCGACGTCAACTTCCTCTCCACCTACGCGCCGCCGGCCGCCTCCGAGTGGAGCAACCTCCTCAAGCAGTTCCGCGGCCGCGAGCCGGAAGGCATGTGGAACCTGCTCTCCATCATCCGCGAGATGTTCCGCCGCGGCGACAACAACGCCGTCCCGCTCACCATCGTCACCGAGGAGTGTCTGGCCTGCGAGCAGGTACATGAACGCGGGTGGATTATTATTGACAAGGATTTTTTGGTCTGATTTTATATGATTGTATTTTTAACGTCTGAATCATGAATGCAATGCATGACAACATGTTCGCAGCAGTGTAGCTGTTGTGGCAGGTGGTGCTACAACGCCAGGCTTGGACCGTCTGGTGATCCCTTTGGAGTTGCGCCTGTGTTTGCTGGGAGAGGATGTGCCCTGCGCGGTGGCTGAAGAGGGCGGTCGCGTCACAATTACCATTCCGTTCGATATAAATCAACAGACGGATATGCACGCCGTCCTGGGGTAAGTTTGCAGCTTGATATACGCGTTCTAAAAAATCGCTTGAAAACGGAACATTTTCGCGTCCCGTCGGTCGACAATATCAGAATTGCTCAGTGCGGGGAAAGTTTGAATTGTGAAAGTGCTGCTTTGATTCTTTTATACAGGCAGTATGGTCGGGAAGGTGTATCATGGATAGAGCTGGACGAGGCCAGTATCGATGTCGAAACGGGGAGGTCCGTGGCAACAGGCCCGCCTCCGCCGGTTTCCGCACCATCTCCATCTGCGTCCAGCGGGTTCACGCAGATGCTGCCTCCGCTGCTGCCCCCGCCGGCCAGGAAGAAGGAGGTGAGTGCTACACTGCTGCATTGACGATCAACATTCCTTACTGTACAAGATGGCAGTGGTATCAGTTTCATCGCGTTGTGTTGGCCTTGGCAGTGGGGCTCATTCGCGCTAGGATCTTACCTGGCCCACACGTTTGCTGTTAACTGTCGCCAGTCAGGATCCGAAGACACAGGCCTGATTGAAGCGCCCTCCACTCCTGGCGCTGACCGTGCGGGCGCGTACCGCGACCGTGCAGCGGACAAGGCCGATGAACGCGGTGCAGTGCAGCGTCAAGGCCAAGCGGGTGATGAGCGCCTGCCGGGAGCCTATAGTGCCGCGGAGAGCTTTCGCCCAGCGGCGCCGTTCGGGGGCGAGGGATCCGGCCACGGACGCCCCGATGGAGCTCCTGCCGCGGACCGTGCGGGCGCGTCTCGCGACCGTGCAGCGGACAAGGCCGATGAACGCGGTGCAGTGCAGCGTCAAGGCCAAGCGGGTGATGAGCGCCTGCCGGGAGCCTATAGTGCCGCGGAGAGCTTTCGCCCAGCGGCGCCGTTCGGGGGCGAGGGATCCGGCCACGGACGCCCCGATGGAGCTCCTGCCGCGGACCGTGCTGTCGCGCCACCAGAGGGTGAAGCGGGCGGTGATGCCGGGACGAGCGTGGGAGGTGTTTTGGGCGGTGGAATGGCTGCGCGCGGTCGAGCTGGTGTTCGCGGTGGAACGGGCTCGCGATTCAAACGATTCCGTCGTGATGCCCATGATCAGTAGCCTTGATAATTGCATGTCGTTCTCGGGCAATGCGGAAGTGGCTTTTTCGTTTGGTTCTGGATTTTTCTCGGCCTGGATTTGTTTTCTCAAGTGAGTTTGATTAAGTAACTTTCTAGACTATCTCACTGTTCGGTCTGTGTTACGTAGTGACATTTTGTGATTCGGAATGGTATTTGCTTTTTGTGATGCTGAAATCGGCCTTAAATCCTAATTCATGGTTTGCTCATTTTTTCCAGATGAATCTCAGAGTGCAGTATGGTGATCACCGGGGTGATTATGAATATGCTACTGGTGCGATTACGGCTGCTGAGTCCGCTCCTCAACCGATGTTTTTGGTGGCCCACTGGAGGACCTGTAGGCATTGGCGCAGTCGGTACCGGAGCGGCTTTCGTGGGTGGAGAGGGCGGTGGCACCGGTGCGTGCGGTGGAGGGGTACGCGGGGTACAACGGACTTCGGGTCGGAACGCTCCCGTTGCGGTTTCCCGTGATATGCCGTTCCTGTTGCTAGATGCGGAATTGTTTTGCTGATTGATTTGAATTTTCTCAACTGGCTGTGCGAATCTGTAATAAGTGAAGCGTGCCGGTTTGTGACAAAAAATTCGGGTACATGTGGAGTCACGCAGTGACATCAGGGATGTGCTAAAACTTCCGCTTTTGCTCACTTAGATATCCTTTTTCGGTGTATTATGACATTCAAGTACTTACTATAGTGTGAGGAGGACTGGTAACCTACCGTTTGACGTCATCACTCTCGCATACACGGGAGGGCGGCTGCCATGGTGACAGATGCGCGATTTTTACGGTTTTCGTCAGTTTTCTCAGCATATTTTCTTTTCTCTTCTATTTCTAGCCCCTCATGTTTGGTTTCTAAATTCAGTATCATCTGTTAAAATATCAGAAAGCTTTAGAGGAGAAAGGAACTGAGAATATCTTTAAAATGTGTAGTGTATGTACTATAAAGGACTGTAGTACATTATATGAGCCTAGCAACGTTCCAGTATCTCTGAGAGAATGTTTGTATGTTTTCCTACTTTTATATTTAGTCTATCATCAGTCGTCCTACTGTACACATCTAATAAAGTATTATTAGATACTTCACATTGGCGTGAAGGATGATAGCAATTTTTTAAAAAAAAAGTTTTTAATCTGGAATAATGTCTACCACTGGAAATACGGATGGTACTAGCACGAGTACCGTTGTCCGTACGTCCGTGACGCAGACCAGGCAGGATGTGGCCGGAGAAGAAGCGGATTCTACCGGATTGCCCCGCCTGGCGAAGTTCGATCCAGAGGTCATCAAACTGGAGACCTGGCGGATCCAGTTTGACAGTCACCTGTCCTCCCATGGGATGGCTACGGACAGGAAGAAGCCGCTGCTCCTGGGATCGTTGGCTCCGAAGGCAATGGAGATGCTAGCCTCCATGTGCCGTCCGAAGGATCCTGGCGCGTTCACCTTCGACGAGCTGTACAGTAAGCTCAAGGTCGCTTATAGTAGGCGTACGAACGTGCGAGTCGAACGAGCAAACTTTTTCAGCATTAAGCAGCAGGCAGGTCAGACGTCGTTAGATTTCAGCAATAGCCTCAGGAATCAAGCAGTTAAATGCGATTTTCCAGATACATTTGTTGACGACCAGCTGTGCGCTGCGTTCATGTCAGGTGTAGCGAGTGAGACGACGCGTAGATACCTGTACTCATTGCCAGTCTCCTCAGTGGAGAAGTTCGATACGCTGTACGAAGAAGCAGATAAGTATGAGCAGAGTCGTGCAGATGCGAAGCAGTCAGGTTCAAAGTCGCAGTCGCCAGATGTAGCCGCTATAAAACGCGGAGGTTTTCATGGGCGTGGCCGAGGTCGTTTTAGAGGTCGCGGTGGTAACAACAATGTTGGTCGTAAGTCAGCATGTTTTGGCTGTGGTTCTACCAGTCATATGAAGCCAGATTGTCCGCACAAGAATGCAAAGTGCTATAACTGTGGAAAGACAGGGCATACTGCCAAGGTGTGCAGGGCACCGAAGAAGGAAGGCAGAGATCAGAGAAGGACTAATTATGTCAGAACTCAGGAGTACGATGTACTGAGGACAGGTCCAGTGACGCCCACGTCGATATTTGTACCGTTAACGATGAACGGTAAGAATGTGTCAATGGAGTTAGACACAGGATCGTCAGTGACAATCATGAGTAAGCTGACATGGCGCAAGATTGGAGCGCCGAAGTTGAGAAAAGCAGATGAAGTACTGCACAGTTTTACTGGTCATCAGATACCGCTGATGGGTACTGTCGAGGTACAGGTACAGCATAGAGGCGTAATGAAAACGCTGAAAGCGCTAGTGACAGAGCGTGGTTGTAGCATTATTGGCCGTGACTGGATATCTCAGTTAGAGCTTAGTGCATTGAGTTTGAAGCAGTTGCAACAAGGTAACGTCTGCACAGTAACTGAGAAGCTGAAGTTGGCGCATGTGCTACAGAAGCATAAGGCTGTATTCCGAGATGAGCTCGGGTGTTGCAAGAATTTTAAGGCGCATCTGTATCTCAAGGAGAATGCGAGGCCAGTGTTTTGTAAAGCCAGACCCGTGCCGTTTGCTTTGAAGGAAGAAGTTGAAGAAGATATTGACCGGTTAGTCAGTATAGGTGTACTAACACCCGTTGATCATGCCGAGTGGGCAGCGCCGACGGTTTACATAAAGAAACCGAAGAAAAGGTCAGGATATGTTCTGATTTGAGCACTGGTCTGAATGATGCACTTGACGTGCACAAGTATCCGCTACCGCACCCAGATGAGCTTTTTGCCAAATTAAATGGCGGTGTAGTGTTCTGCAAGATTGATTTGAGAGAAGCTTATAATCAGATCCCAGTTGACGATGAGAGTTCGAAGCTGCTCGTTATTAATACCCATAAGGGTTTGTTTAAATACAACCGACTGCCGTTCGGTGTGGCCAGTGCGCCTAGTATATTTCAGCAGCTCATTGAAAGTATCTTGCAAGGGTGTGAAGATGTAGCAATATATCTGGATGATATTATTGTAAAAGGGCGCAACAGAGAAGAGTGCCTACGAAAGTTAGACATGGTACTGGAGAAACTTGAGCAAGCTGGCTTAACGGTCAAGAAAGAGAAATGTGAGTTTCTGGTTGATTCAGTTGAATATTTGGGATTCATTATTGATAAAGCTGGCAGACGTATTTCGAGTGAGAAAACAAAAGCTGTTGTTGAAATGCCAGCACCACAGGACGTAGGACAGTTACGTTCGTTCTTGGGTATGATTAATCATTATGCAAAGTTTTTGCCAAATTTGTCGAGCAGATGCAGTTGCTTTTATAAGCTGCTCAAGCAGTCAGTGCAGTGGAAATGGGATTCAGGTTGTCAGAAAGAATTCCTGTCGCTAAAAGATGATTTGACGAAAGCTACTCAGTTAGTGCATTTCAACCCTGAATTGCCGCTAGTGTTGGCAGCTGATGCATCGAAGTATGGTATAGGTGCAGTGTTGAGCCACAGGATGCCTGACGGTTGTGATAAGCCGATAGCGCACATATCGAAGACGCTGACATCAGCTGAGCAGAATTACGGTCAAATTGAGAAGGAGGCACTCGGCTTAGTCTTTGGTGTAAAACGGTTTCACCAGTATCTGTACGGTCGAGAGTTCATCTTGTTAACTGACCATAAGCCGCTGGTTACGGTGTTCGGAAGCAAGAAAGGTGTGCCAGTAGTTACTGCAAACAGGTTGCAGCGGTGGGCCATTGTGCTCATGGGTTACACGTTCCGAATCGAGTACCGTAGAACGTCAGATTTTGGTCAGGCAGATGGTCTCAGTAGACTGCCGATTAAGTCATCAGATTTGTTTGACGAAGAAGATCTGGGCAAGACAGAAGTGGTCAATTTGATAGAAAGTGAAATTCTATCCAGTATGCCAGTATCAGCTGAAGTGATTCGTGCAGCGAGTGCGAAAGACAGTGAGATTGACCGAGTCAAACAGTTCCATTTGAATGGATGGCCAAACAAGGTTCCAACAGAGTTAGTGGCGTACAGTCGCCGGAAGAACGCATATTCAATATGCGATGGTTGTTTACTGTGGAATAACCGAGTAGTTATCCCCAGTTCGTTGCGTGCACAGATACTGAAGTACTTACACAGTACGCATACAGGCGTAGTGAAGATGAAAGCGGAAGCGAGAAGCCACGTTTGGTGGCCTGGTATTGACGAAGCGGTAGAGAAAGTAGCCGGGGAATGTGAGATTTGTTCGATGTTAGCGAAAGATCCCAGAAAGGTACCGTTACAACAGTGGCCGGTCCCACAGGGCCCGTGGCATCGGTTGCACATAGATTTTGCCGGACCGTTCAAGGGTCGAATGATACTCGTAATTGTTGACGCATTCTCGAAGTGGCTAGAAGCGTTTGAGGTCAAGAAAGCCGATACCAGTAACGTGATTTTCATTATGGAAAGTCTGTTTGCGCGATATGGACTGTGTACTGATATCGTCAGTGATAATGGACGTCAGTTTACGTCGGAACAGTTTCAGCAGTTTTGTACTGAAAGAGGGATTAAACATATGACTATAGCCCCGGGACACCCGCAGTCCAATGGGCAAGCCGAGCGCTACGTTGATGTAGTAAAGAAGGGCATAGAAAAGGCATGCAGTCCGGAAAACGTTTGCCGATGCGTTACGGGAGTTCCTTAGTCGTTTTCGTACTGTACCAAATGGTACTACTGGAAAAGCTCCGTGCGAGTTGTTTCTAAATCGAAAGGTCAGGACTATCTTAGACCTGGTTCATCCTGTAGCGCAGGTGCACGAGAAAGCCCGAGGCAGGCAGAAGCGCAATTTTGATAAGCGCACGAAAGCGCGAGCGTTCATAACAGGACAACTAGTCCAAGTAAAGGATTTCCGGTTGAACAGTGCTGATAAGTGGGCTGCAGGGCAGCTGGTAAACCCATCGGTAAAACGATGTGGGAAGTTAAAGTGAACGGTCAAGTGTGGCGAAGACATGCTAACCAGATGCTACCACGCCGTTGGTTGACCGCCGAAGAGCACGCAGAGTCGCAGATGGCGGCGAGTGCACAGAGAACACCAAAGCCCGTCCCGATGCTACCACCGGTAGAGGTTGCGACGCAGCGTGAGCGTAAGGCGTCAGAGGCGCGACGCATGGTTGCGGCGCCAGAGGCGCGACGCATGGTTGCGGCGCCAGAGGTGCGACGTGAACCCGCGGCACCAGTTGAAGAAGCGCGACGCCTGGAGGCTGCGCTTGAGGCGCGACGCGATGTTGCGGCGCCGAAATCTGAGCAGGTAGTATGCAGGCTGCACCGCAGCCTGTGCCCCCTGTTGTTATTGCAGGTCCAGACCGTGGACCGCCACCCCCAGTGAAGGCGGAAGTCATGGTTCCCACGGCCGAAACGAAGCCTCCGAAGAAGCCATCGGAGAAGGCTGCTGCAAAGCCACCGAAAGTTCCGAAGGCCCCGATTCCGGAAGCAGAACTCCGCCGAAGCGATCGGACAAGGAAGATGCCGGATTACCTCCTCAAAGACTACGTGACGAAAAAGATTTTCGTAGAATTTCCGCCGATTTAAAATTAATATTTATTCCTGTTTTCATTGCCCGTGTGTTTTATCTTATTGTGGGGGAGTGTAGTGTATGTACTATAAAGTACTGTAGTACATTATATGAGCCTAGCAACGTTCCAGTATCTCTGAGAGAATGTTTGTATGTTTTCCTACTTTTATATTTAGTCTATCATCAGTCGTCCTACTGTACACATCTAATAAAGTATTATTAGATACTTCACAAAATGAGACAATAAAATCTGTGGGCCTATGGTAAGCAGCAGACCTGGGCAGTTAATTTCAACTATCTATATTTAACTTAGCGCGAGTTTTTTTCGAGTTAACGAGTTATAACTTAACTTTGAAGCTTAACTCGCCAGGACGAAAACTTAACTCTAGCGCAACTCAAAAATAATAAAGCGCAACTCGAGTTTAACGTAACTCTGCGGGTTTCAGTTGAAAGCAAAAATGAAATTAAAATATAGAAAATATCAGAAAAAATGTTAATTTAACCTTGGATCGCATAAATTGCCATAATTACAAAAGTATGTGTGTACAAAAGTATGTGCATACAATTCCTCGAGCCGACGTACACTACGACCGCCCAAGGCTTTGACTAGGTGAATATGCATCGGGGAGTCCATGCTGACAGTGAGTGTGGTCGTTCAATTTGAGCTTAATTAACAGCGTGAAGAGAACGTATTTTTCAAAATTTTGTCATCGAGAGCACAAATCATGTTCGACCAAAATCACACGGGAATTGATCGCCTATGCGTCTTCGCTACCTGCCCATAAGGGAAGCGCAATAATGCGGTCAACGCTGTCAAACAGCTACACTAACTTCGGTAGCCATTGTGAAGCGAAATCTTAAAAAAAAGTTCAGCGTTGCCGGCGCTCGGCCCCAAAAAACCAGGGTCAAAAAGAGGGAGAAATTTTGAGAGGGAGGAATTTTTGTGTGGTTAAAAAGAAGGAGGAATTTTATCAGATAAGAACTTTTTTTATGTTTGATTTTTTCTTGAGGGAGAGAGAAAACAGGCAGGAAAAACAATAAGAACAAAACACAAAAAACACAAGAATGTTTTCTTATGTTTCATTCTTTTGTTTCATTCTTATTCTTTCTTATGTTTCATTTATACTTTATCTTCTTCTCTCAAGAAAACTGCGTCTGTCGCTCTCTCCCTCAGGAAAAACATGAAAAAGAAACAAAAGAAAAAGCATGAATTTTAAAAATCAGTTTTAAGATTGAAAAACTAATAATGGTCTGTGTCGCAAACCTGGAAAAACTTATATCGGCTTGCATAAAAGACTACTTGAAGCTGATTACTAAAATCATAAATTTTTTTATTAGAAGTTAACTCCAGTTAACTCTAGTTATTGCGGCTAACTTAACTCATAGCGTAACTCGCGAGCTGCGATTAACTCTTAACTCTAACTATGAGTCGAAATCTCATAACTGCCCAGGTCTGGTAAGCAGTAGCACACCAGTGCATTCTGTATGCGACAGACGACAGTGATGACGTAGTCGACCGTTGCAGAGTCGCCTCCCAGTCCTCTTTCGAATTAGCAAATTAGCTTTCCACCACTTGAAATAAGAAAATTTTGAAATTTAGAAAACGTGATGGAAAGCTGGTTCGAACCATCTTCACGACAATGTGCGCTTCAATGCAAGGTTTGAAAGCGTCGGTTTAAAATGCAATCCACACTTCTGGTACACCCCCGTGCGTCCAAACTTTTAGAATTTTATTACCGATAATTTACGCGCGCAAACGGTTAGCGCGCCGATGTACTTATACAAATCATTTGGCTGAAAAATGTCATAAAACAGTGCACAGGGAAAGTTTTAGCCCATGTACGTACCCAAATTTGTAACCATGTACCGGCAGACTTGCCTTAACTCTCAGATTGGTTCACTGTACGGTCTTTGCTATTATTTCAAATTTCCAAAACTTAAATATACTTGTACAAGCAAAATGCCATTTTCACTTAAACTCAAAAGATCAGCTAGCTTGTACAACTAAAACAACTCATCCAGCTCTTTAGAACAAGCAACAGTACCCAAAACGGAAGCCGCATTTCCGCGCTGAATCTCGACACTTATACTTTGCCACAAAAACTCAGTAGCATGCGCTTCTCCTGTTTGCTCTTTGATGCGCCGACCGACTTCACTGATGAACTGCCGGGTACTGGTGCCGCAACTACCCATTGTTTCCAAAGCTACCGGTCAAAGAAATATCGGTCAGTGAGTTCCAAATAGAGGTTCCTCTTTCGTTCTTCCGCGTCGTCTGCTGCTGAACCCGCTGCCGCCGATGATCCAGCTATGTACGACATCGCGAATGTGTTGCACATGTGACATACCGTCACATCCCATATCAGTGGAAGGCCGTTCTTCCAAGGAAGAGTGTTAAGCCATCCGGCCGCTTTCCGTCTGAACTGATCAATCCGGGAGGTTCTAAAATTGTCGGGACTTTTGCTGACCCAAGACTGCGTTGTATTACGCTATTCAAACTCGCATGTCGCCTGAATCTCTCCTGACTTTTCAAGCAAGATAGACCATGTAAGCCTTGAGTGTCTACCGTTACGAAAGGTCATTACGAAAATGTTGCTGACTGGTTATGTTGCTAAGGAAAAAAAAATGATAACGTTACTAATTGTTAAGAGTGCTACTGGTAGCACATTAAAAATTATTTATGATTCGCACAAGCGAAAAGCTGCTGCGCTCCGGTCTGCCAATGCACGCCAACGTGCATTTTTTCTAGCAGTTGACATTTATGCCGATGCAGATTTCTGCAAGTTTGATGTAGTTACTGTGAGAGTTACATAATCCAAATTTAAATTTTACGACATCCATGGATTGTATTGGCGGGAGAGTTGTTTTAGGACGACTTTGCTGGGCGTTGAGTACAGTGGAGAGTGGACCAGTGGAATAATTATCATCACTTTTGCGCGAAGCGGACGCACGATTTTCGAACGAATGTACAAATAGAACAGTTACGCAGTGACTACTACAGTTGCTCCACGGTAGTTCACGAATCATGCTAATGCAGGCAATTTACTGTTTACTGCTGTCATTCGCATCATATGCATAGAAGTATGTTAAATCCTTACGTGTGTGCCTTTTGCGCTTGGTTGCGCGGACTGGCACTTGTTTCGATATTAAATTTTCGAGTATGACAGTTTGAAATAGTACGTAATCGCTGATTGCTATCACGTGCAAAGCAAATTAATGCCATGTTAGAGACCAAGTAAGTATATAAAGCTAGCCGGCTGAGGGCGCTGAAGGACGCAGGGCACGTGCGTCAGAATGGGCAGACAGGAAGGACTTGCATATCCAGGCCAATTAGACGGTCCGCAATGCTGCGGCTGCTGCTCGGCATTCAATGGAATGCCTAACTGTACAACTGGCAGAGCCGCTGCGCCATCCTTGCGCTGTGGGTCCGGTATTAGTGTGACGAATTATCTGCGGAAGTATCCGGGGAATTAATTTGTCGGTATTCACCAACATGCCGTGATTTCCTTCCGCTGCTCAACTACAGCATCGAAGCCACCCTTTGAAAAAGTCAAACAACAGAAAACGTGCCAGATATGTATGTGCACGTACCGCATGCGTACTGTACTTCACAGCAGAAAAGCCTCGCTGAGGGCCAACAGGGCCATCGTGCTCAGTTGGCCGACGGCCAGCTCCCGCAGGTCAACCTCGCCCCACGCTAGCGGCGTCCCGTCCGCTTGGAAACCGCTGAATCTGAAATGCACAACAAGCACCTTTCTCTGGCTCATCGAACCGCAAGTGCCAGCACAGTCCACAGTATCATGATACGATACAGCAGTACGTACTTCTCACTGTCACTTCCAGATAGAGAATCCGTAACTGTGTGCACAACTTACATGGACAACAGATGACGGATGCGCAGCCATTCATCGGGATAACTGAGAGTGGCCACCCAACGAGCGTGGATCGCCTGCACTTTCCGGTACACATCGGCGCCGACGGCCGGGAAGTGGGCGTTGATGACGTACATAAAGCGGCTCATGGCGTGTTCCCATCCATGGACGAAGGGCAGGATGACCCGGCGAAGAGTGATCTGCGCGCTATCAATGGACAGCAGATTTCCCTGTGCTCCTCCGAGCAGACTTCCTCGGGAGATCATCCATCGCTTCTCACTTTCTGGCAGCTGCACCAGACTGTTGTCTCTCGCATAAAGCAAGTCAAACAGTGCTCGACAGAAGAGCCCCGAAAAGGTGCAGTTGTTTATGATCAAGGCCTGACAATGGTCTTTGAAGGGCCGAATGCGCCGAATGATGCCGTGTCTCAGCAAGGAACATTCATCGTATGTCCAGTGACTGAAAGGAAAGCTGGCGTCTTGCATAACCATCACGGGCAGCCGGATGCTGGCCGCGTCCAGCCACGGCCCTAGAAAGTAACTCGGCCTCCTGCTCTCCAGGCCAGTTATGGTCAGGCTCTTGGTTCCTGCATGGACTGCCCCCTGCAGCAGCGCGGCTAGTTTGTACGAGTCATCGTAACAGCAGTGCGTGGAGGCACAGCCTTCCAAGTTGATTGTGATGTGACCGTTATGTGTCGAAGCATCGCTTAATATCGCATTCCACAAGAAGCACACCCTAAGCAAACGAGTGCAGTTGCATTAGCAATTTAGCATCGAAATTCAAAGTATACAGCCGCTATTTCTGAATGAGCAATTATCAGCGGATTAATCTTCAAGTTTCTTTGATATATCTGCATTTATATGCAATCGCATTTTATTTTAGAAGGCAACGCCCAGCACGCTGCCGTCGGGCATAATTATGCTCCCACCCTCTTTGCACGGAGGCGCTGCACGGTTGGAACTTGAAACCGGCAAGCCTAATATAATATTCATATGAGAGACGTAGTTTGTCTATATGTAATACTTATATTAAGTAATGCAGGATCCGACTGGTAACTGAGAAGCAGGGTGAAAACTGCAAAAGGTCGCAAGTCCCACAAGTCCCACCACCGGTGGCAACTGGCAGTAGTACTAGATGCCACTGCCGCCTTTAACACTCTGCCCATAACTCCACCACGGCAAGTCAGAATCGAAAAGCTATGCAAACTCTGAACTCTTCATCACGCAGGAATGTCTGTTGTAGTTGTTTTTATATCATTCATACGAGGCAGGTCCGGCGGTTGAACTAGATGTCCGGCAGATGCACGAGCACTTTCAGGCCTCGTCCCCTTTCTGTAGCGAAACTAGCGACCGTACTCCGCATACCACCGTTCCGGAACAGCAGGTACGCACTACCGTACGGCCGTTTTCGATTCAGGCACCGGGTATCAGTTGAAAGATTCGGGAGTCGGGACGGGGGTATGCTGCGTATCCGAATGTGTAACGTTCTCACAACTCTCTGATACGGTATCCCACGAACCGTATCTCATAGCACGAACCAACCCCGCGTCTCACATCTAAGTACCAAGAATTTCACGCGCGCTTTTTACGCATGCCCTCAAATACAAAGAAAAACAGTACAGTACTGTACACCTCCAGAGGCGGCTTTCCTCGTATCTTTTTGTTGATGAGTGAGGGTTTTTTAATATTGTCATGGTGTGACGCTTTCAGTTTCGTGAGTTAGTTAAAATTTTATGAAAACGAACAAATTTCTAATAATTTCAAAACCCAACAATTAGCGATTAAATAGAATCATTCATACAGAGTGAATCTTTTTAGAGAGGTACTTATGTTTTTTAAAATCTGTATGTACACATACTGTAGCTGATATTGCCATACCGGGTGGCCCAACAGAATGGCAGGCTGTTTTGGTAGCATGCGCCGAATCCATCCAGTGGTTGACACCAAGTTAATTTCATTCGAAAGAGGAACTTAAGCAACATAAAGTAGATTAAATTAAACTGGCAATATGCAAGGGCTTCATTTATTATGAATCGTTTGTAAAAACTGGGTGGACTTCGAGGATGGCCAGAAGCAAAAATTCGAATTTACCCATTTTTGATTTTAAAATTGTTGTAAGTAATTCGATGATGTGGAATTATGAAAGTAACGTTACTATTTCGGACAGGAATTTTTTAGTGCTTTTTTACTGTAGAATACTGCAATATTCTTGTGACCGCATTGGGCCTAGAAACGATAGAACTACCACACCGCACATTTAATTCTTGGGAAATTCGCAAGCAGGTTGTTCGAAAGTGAATTCAATTTTAAGCTGAAATCGGTTATTGATAGGGCAAGGTCTCAGCTACTTGTTACCGGTTAAAGAGACATTTACTGTTGCTGTCTGCCAGGTAGCAAAAAATTACAGCACAAATACCGAAAAATATCTGATGAAAATCCGGCATTTTATTCGGAAAATCTTCAAGTGCGTCCGCTGCATAGGTCATTCGGCGCAATAATTACGTCAACAGTTTTTCGCTACCGGGAAAACTTCTATATACAGTTGGAAAAAAAATAAAAAATTTGAAAGCTGAAAAAATTTAAAAAAAAACGCAGGGGAAAAAATGTCATGAAACTCTGAACTTTGCGCGCTGGGCCAAGATAAATTTCGACACCATTTCAGTCAGCATAAAATCTAACGATAGGGGCTTAATTTTTCAAAACATGCTGTTTTTTTGTTGTTTTAAGTACAGTAGTTGATAAAATTCACTAGCGAATGCTGCGAAATGTGATGGGACGCAAGTACAAGCCTGTCCGGTTATTTCTGTCGTAAAGGTACAGATAGCACATATTTAGCGCGAAGTTTGCGCTATAGCGATTGCCACTACACTACGTTTGGCGTAACACGCAAATTTGTGTATTTAAATAGGCTAACTTTGGCGAAATTTCGCTGTATTGAACCGGCAGAAATTACCGGACAAGCTTGTACAGCAATACGGCGCCAAAGTTAGGCCTCGTCCCGAGTACGAGGTACGCGAAGCGAGAACCGACATACCGTATCGGCGGTTATTTCGGGCGGTATCTCCTGCTCTGGGACGGTGATGTCTTGTACCTTAGCGAGATGCGCTACATCACCCGTGAAAATATCCGGGACGGGGTGTGCTCCGTATCCTAATGCGTCTCGTATTCACAACTCTCTGGTATCCTGCGAACCGTATCTCAAAACCCGTACTAGTACCAACCCCGCGTCTCAGATCAGCCAAAAATTTTGCGCGCGCGTTTTACGTACACCCTGATATACAAAGAAAAACGATACGATACGCGAAGCCACCTCCAGAGATGGCTTTTCCTGGTATCTTTTTGCAGAATTTTTGAATATTGTGTGGCGATATCTTTTTCGAGAGGAATTTATGAAAATGAACGATGCTTACGCTCTCTTTGGTTTTTATTCTCTGTTCATTTTAAAATGCCAATTAAATATGCACATACGAAATGTGACCTTTTTTAAAAACAGTAAAACTTTCACTTATTCCAGCTCGTCAAAATTATTATATGACAAACAACATCATGCAGAATTAGGTAGCTTGAGCTTCAAAGAGGCAGAATGTACGGAGTACGAAGTTTACGGACTACATAATTATGGTGCTGTGAGCAGAGAAGCGGCTCACGTACAGCGATGAAGTCTTTCAAAAGATTTCAACGTATTGCGCCGTGGTGCAGTGGTACTGACTACGCGGATCTAACGACGTAGCCGGGGTTCGATTACCCCCTCGGCGCCTTTTTCAGCCGTATCTCGGTTTCCAGTGGAGAGCGCCCTGGTTTTAGTGCCAACCGAAAACTTTCAATCCAGGGAACCATCATTTCACAATTCAAGACTAGGAATTAATTAGAATGATGGTATAAAAATTATCAGCCCAAGAATCGAAATTCCTCAAATTTTTCACCGAGAAAACACACATAGAAACTGGTAGGCAGTGCGATATGCGATCGGAGCGATGGGACGCAAATACAAAGATACGGGCCCAAAACCGAAGATTCGATTTCGATACAGGAAACCGAGAGCGAACCCAGTATCGATATGCGTGTCCTTAATTTACTGCATCTTGGTGGCCCGCACCAAATACTAAATAGTGTCTCAATTTTCGAAACTAGATACGGTGCTGTATCGCAACGAGATACGCTTTAGAAAGGGGACGAGGGCTCAGAGTCGCAGCCAGCAAATGCGGCAGGTGAAGTAGCAGCCAGAACAATTGACTATAAGAATCGATCTCGCTTGGATTTCGTTGAAATTAGCCAGCATTCACTTCCTGGAGTCCATACTGCCAGTAGCCATCGTCGCGTACGTCACAGTACCCTTCGGTGCTCATTTTCGACCTTTCTTTGCTTAGTAAAAACTTAAAACTGTAAAGTATATAGTACAAGAAACAGCCTCGGCTTCGCCTCCGCGTTTCTTGTGGTCCATGTCCATTTTAATTGAATTTGAATGAATATTTATTAGAATAATATGAAACGAAACGAAACATGATCGGTACATGCAATAGGGCTAACACGACTTTTATATGAAAAAATTGAAAGCCAGTTCATGATTCTCTCAACCATGAAAACATTCCCTCTGGCTGTACATACAGATAATTTTTACGATATAGATATCCCCTACCCGAAAAGAAAGCCGAAATATCAGTCTATGAAGTATGAAATTCGAAACAGTGATAGTGCACTGGATCACTGGCCGGGTTTTCGACTACGGGCTTTCAGAATATAATATTGGTTTTGGTCAGTCTTTTCTGGTTTGCCGGCTCTGGTGTATCCCATTCGTGGCCATATAGATCTGAATCTGGATATACCATTCAGCCACTCAGATTTATGTCTTTCTCGTGTTTCCGTTAGACAGTATCGCGAGAGGCCTGATGTATACTGTGACATGAGATAAAACACTAACATTTCACGAATGGCTTACCGTTTGATCCTCATTTGAGACTGAAGGTCCAAATTAGCGAATATCTCGATGAGAATTGTATGCTCAAGGTGACGAATGCAGGCTTCGTTTTCAGTTTCTGTGAAACAGTTGAAGGTTACTAATACTGAGTCAGTATTACTGACTAGCCTGTGCAGTGAAAAGCTAGAGTTATCCTGTATGCCGGTACCGCTACTTGTTAATGCGATTATGAGCGTTACCCATGAGCGATGCTTCATAACCCCGGAATTCCCGGTACCAGATCCCGTTCGAATTAGACTGCGACCGCAAAAACTAGGATTTGTCGTTCTAATTATTCAATTAAGAAGCGGCTTTTTTTCGGAATCTGCCTTACCATAATTTAGCGGCAGCAGAACTGTATCAGTCTTATCAGGCTGACTGGTACGCGTGACTACGTAGTCCAATAATTATATATACTTCTATTATTACAAAAGAAACGAAAGGCATTTCCGAACAAAGCATAGAGGAAGTTTTTCTGTTATAATGACGTTCTGTTTTGGTACTAAGTTTGTACTTGTACTACGATACTTATTAAAGGTCCCTTTCCGATCAAAAAGTATTACAGTCTGGGCAGCTCTTATCGACCTCATGGTGGTCATCGAGTTGACCACCGATCAGCAATACAACAATTTTTTTTTCTGAAAGAAATAGTGCTTGTGTGCGTAAACGGTCTGACCAAACAACGGTTAAAGAGAATAATACTCCGAACACCTCATACAAGTGCAAAGCAAATCATTTCATCATACTTTAAGCAGAAGCATGGAAACCGGAAGAACATTTGCTATGTGGTCGGACTACTGCACTACTTGCATCGACACAGCACTTCCAGTAGGAGGGAAGCGTCTACCTACCTACCCAAACGAAACAATTTCCCTTGCCTTACGGTCACGCAGACCTCAAGCAACGACGACGGCCACTGCAACGTGTGGTGGCTGCGCCATCCTTACCTACGCAGCCGATCTAGTGCTGTTTCAAGTGGCGACGGGGCAATGGACTTGTAGCCCATTGAATTGGGTTCCACAAAGTCGACAATCTTTAAAGACATGTTGAACCTGCATTGCAAAAATCCTACGGAACATCATCAGACTGGTCTGGCAGTCCAGATTGGCCGTCGTTAAGTGAAGCAGTATTAAAGTCCGGTATACACGGAAGCATGCTGCGGCCTCCACGCAGGACACACACTTCGGTGGCCGTCGACGGCCCGTCGTCATTGCTGGGGCCGGCACGATCATGTCGAAAAACATTTGTCCTTGTTCTAACGGCAAAAACAATGCCGCTCGCCTGGATATACATGGTCACGGCTGGAAGTGCGATATTTTGTCTGCCCGGAACCAGCGCAGCAAATCAACATTCGACTGCACAAATCCCCAATTTCCATGCTTCCGCTGGGCAATACGCGCAAAATGAGTTGTTTTACGCTTTTGGGAAATTGTTTTCGGTATTTTTCTGGGCAACTGCTGTATAGCTAAAGCGTTTTGCAGCAAGGGCCCAATTGTTTCAAAATTCCAGCATAATTTTAAACCGCTGACCAAAGGTCAGTTCGAGGACCACTCCGAGTGTGCTGACAGAACTATTGCTTTCTGGTCGGAAATTATTTTGATTGCAATTATATGCACTTCTGGTAAAGTACGGCCGTACGGGTACCTCTCTACATTTGTACAGACTACAGACCGCTCAGTCTGTAGTCTGTACTAATGTAGAGCGGCACTGTCATAATATTATCACATACGATAAGTAGTTAATTCTGATTTATTGCTCAATTTGTACAAGGCGAGCTTCGCTCAACAAATATGATCAAATTATTATGTAGTAGTTAATTATTATGTACTTGCACTGATTTGTCGGATATTATAATTTACAAGCAATATGTACGTAATGTAAGTAACACGCGTACGTGTAACCCTTTATGCTTGGCAGCTAGCAACCTGGCACAGCGACAGCCACGTTTGCTTCTTTAATAAAACTAATAAAGAATTTATTTAAATACTGTACTGTATTGTAATCCCACGGTGTAACATTATTTTTGCTGCAGATTGTATTCATATGTTAGGCCCAAGGATAAAATGGTCGTGGAGATTTAGACGCACAACTAAACTGCCATAATTTGGGAAGCCATTTACGGTATGAAAGCAGCGGTATACGGTAGTTGACCAGATTGACAGCATTTAATTTACAGGCAACAACACCAATGGCCGTAAATGTCACTGACGCGTGTGCGCAGGGCTGTCAGCCACCGAGGTGGCAGCATTTTTTAATGAAGGAGGTTTTATAAGCAGGGACCTTTTATTGCAGCCAGAGGTACAACTTCAATAAATAAGTACTATCCAGTGTGTTGAAATCATGTCATGTATGTATGTACAGTCATGATACCACTGTGGTACAATTGACAATAAATAAAGATTGGCAAGGAAGCCGCACCTGCATAAGTACATTCCATACGACCTTCCAGAGTCGATGCTGCTCTGACACTTCAGAGACGGTAAATCCGACCGTCTTCTTATATGTCTCTCCAGGACAGGTATAACATAGGCCAAGAACAGGCTGCACTCAATTGCCCCCGGTGCGATTGTTTTGCAGCCTGAAACGGTAACGTTTCTTGGTGCACCATTAACCGATGAGGCTATAACTCACCTTCTGCAACAGAAAATTGCTTCCTTGAAACTTTTTACAGAACGTTTGCGAATACTAAATGCCCATCACGGATTTTACCTGTTGCGGAACTGCCTGTCCATTCCGAAGCTCATGTATACACTGCGCTGCAGCCCATGTTGGAAAGTGCCGGCGCTGCTGGATGAGTTTGACGGTCATGTTAAAGAAGCCTTGGAAGAAATCACCAATACCAAACTGGACGGACTTGTGTATACGCAGGCTACGCTACCCGTTGCCAAAGGGGGTTTGGGTGTTCGACGAGCGAAAGCATTGGCTCCTTCTGCCAATTTGGCTTCCATGTTTGCGACTCGTCAGTTAACATCTCAGATCTTTCAAGGCAGCAGCGAGCAGCTGGTCAGCGATGCGTGTGAACACTGGAAACTGGAGTCCGCATGTGATGAGTTACCGTTAGATTTGGCTCGTGTTCATCAGTGTGTATGGGATAATGCCGTCATACAGAAGGATGTTGATGTTTTGTGGAATAATGTTGGCGGCAATAAGCGAGCTGAAGCACGTATGAGAGCAGTTAGCACAAAATACGCCGGAGCCTGGCTCAATGCTCTTCCCGCGAAAGTTTTCGGCAACTTCCTGGATGATCAGACTTTCCGCATTTCTGTTGGCCTGTGGCTTGGTGCTAAGATCGTGGAGCAGCATTCGTGTGCGAGATGTGGTAAAGAGGTCGCGGAAAACGGATACCATGGGCTAGCGTGCAAGAAGTGCATCGGGAGAAGGAACGTCATAACGGCATTAACGATATCATATTGCGAGCACTATGTAATGCCGGCATTGAGTCATACCCGGAGCCCATTGGCTTTTTGCGCGAAAACGGAAAACGTCCGGATGGAGCTACGCGTTGGAAGTGGTACCGCGGGCAGCCATTAGTATGGGACGTTACTTGCAGAGACACGATGGCGGATTCATACATCGACGCGACCTCAAAGTGTGCTGGCGCTGCCGCCGAACTGGCATGCCGGGAGAAGATTGGAAAATACAAGTCGCTTACTGATCGCTGTAATTTTGTCGCCTTTGCATGTGAGACTTTTGGCACTTGGTGTGAGACCGGCATTGTAACGTTAAAGGAGATCGGTAAGAAGTTGTTTTTAAGGACGGGTGAGAGTCGCTCTACTTGTTTTCTGTTTCAGCGTTTAAGTTTGGAGATTATGCGTGGTAATGCAATGAGTGTATTGTGCACGGTCCCTTCCCATGTTAATTGGGACAAATTCTTCATTTGATCATGTTTGTTGAGCGAAGCTCGCCTTGCACATATTGAGAAATTAAAATAATTAACATAGTCGCTATTTGATCCTTGTTGAGCGTGTCCTCGGTTTGAGTAACAATAATGAATGTGCACTCGTGCAATCCAACTCTAACATGAAATCGACAATTGCGATCCGAAATCGACATACGACTATTCGGACGGTGGCCGTAATAACAGTGGCGAAACGAAAGGATGATACGGTAGATATCAGCCGCTTCCTGAAAAACGGACTCCGCATTGGGAAAGGGGATGACGTATTTTGTGTACGTCAGTGTGGTGCTTCCATCTGGAGCATCCATCTCCCTGGACGGCAGCTGCGCGACTACTTGACACCGGTCCACCACTTGGACGCAGGCGCTGGCAGTGGTGTAGAGGCCGTCAACTCCAGAACTCTCTGGCCTCACAAACCACAGGCCGCACACTGTAAAAATAAGCATATACTGCACCTCATGGGGCCGAAGCCAGTGTTAGTCTGGGCCGTCTACTCTCTACTCTTCCCGTACGGTTCGGGCCGGCATCTAGCTTTTCCGGACCGATCCCGGTAAAAAGAGGCTTAAATAGAGACGGAGAGAAAGAGATGATCGAGTTGATATACGCTCCAAACCTATACAACGTTACGTACCGCTGTCAGCGGTAAATAAATCATGGAGTTAATGCAGTCTCCTGGTGCATTTGTTTCGTTTGCGCTGCTTGCAAACCAGATAGATGTACGTTAACTGGTGATGAACATCCTTTTGAATTCACGAAACGTTCACGGTAGTTACGAGTTAACGCAAGTAAAATTAGCAGACGAAATCTGGTACCGTGAAGTGCTGGCGAGAATGCGTGTGGCAAGAACTTGAAAAACCTCAACGCGGCCTAAATAAATTCTCCTATTGAAAAAATAGGAAATGGCTATTGTCACCCCCCTGCACCCCTTTTGACTACTGTCTACTGTCACCCTTTTTTTTAACTGAAATAAACACCCTATTGTCACTCATCACCACACGCCCTTTCAGCTATTGCCACCAGCGGCTCTTTTTCAATTCTGTTCCTGCCACCACCGGCAGAAAAAAATCGCCAAGCAAACCTTATTGGCACTTAATGGATCACTAAAATGCGGCCTTATTTTTCTGATTTTGAACTTAGCATCTTCGGGATTTCATTTGTTGAGCTCCGCAGCAAATGCGATCGCACAAAAGTCCACAATTACGACAATCCCTTCGTTGCTACACCCGCGGAAACTAAATTCCGGTGTCCTCGCTCGCTTCCGGTTAATCTCGAGGCTTTCTTAATCAGTGGTGCCGATAGAACTGGTACCGAGAGTTTCGCCGGCAACGCAGAATCATAAACAAACGGCTAACCATTATAAGGCCTCGTCCCGAATTCAAAGCGAATCTCGTTGCGATGCAGCAACTCCACCTCGCGAGATGGCTTCGCGTACCGTATCTGTAGGCGTGGCCACTGCATACAGCCACCAGTTGGTATGACACTTTACAAACAGCATTATAAAATCGATTATTATAGGTAGTACCTAATGTTTACCGGCACTTAAATTTGATGATGTACGGTACGAGAAACAGCTCTATGCTACTGATTCGGTGATTCCTAGCCACTTACAACTAACACCATCCAGTAAAGCTGCCGGCCGAAACCGAAACGGCCCGTCCATTTCGTCGCGTAACGCCACCAACACCTGCGTATTTCTCCACTCAGTTGCGGACCAGTTGTCAGTAAGAAACGGAAGAGGCCAAATGAACCAGGCTTGAATCCAACGTGCAGTCGTTTTCGTGGAGTCGAATTCAATGTAGGCGCAGCTCCCGTCTGCCGAAATATCCTACAATGTTACAGTACTTTATTCCTAAACCGTTAGCAGGAACTCGCACATCTTGACAAAGTTAACCGTGCATCAGCACGATGCTTGAAGGTTTTTTGGCTTTAGCCTTTCCAACATGTTCTACAAGCCTTAAATCATTCAGCTTGTCTGCATGTGCAGCTTGCCGAAAGCCGACGTCGTTAATGTATCCGTGCGTACGAACATTATACGATACTGAATTGACTACTGCGAATGCTGCCAACATGCCTGCATATATCCTAACCACCAGGAGCCGGACTGGGTCCTTACAGCAACGGTGTTCTGATAGCTGAACTTATCGATACCACGCAACACCCGTCGAAATGGGGGAAGACTTGCCGGAACTTCCATGCTGATCTACAGCAAACCAACACACAGTATTAAAATTAACATTACAGATAGTAACAATTTCCTACAAGTTAAGCAGATAAAAAGCCGAGTACGGATGAACGACCTTTGCCACGTGGCACCTGTATGCCATAAAACTTTAAATATTAATAGTTTATGAAGCACAAGTAACAACGGACACTACCGCGCGTCCGATCACTGCGGCCGGGTTTCATTTCGGTCACATACAATTTCTTCGGCCCACGGTTCAACGCTCATTTCATCTTATGCTCACTTCGGCCAGCATTCAATTTGGCCACCGCTTGCGTCGGCTTTTACGTTTGTTTGTTAAGTTTTCTTCGGTTCTTTTTGCTAGGTCTTTTGGTTTTCATAGGTTTTCAACGGTTTTTGTAAAATACAGGGTTTCCCACACTTTTTAACATACACACCTCTGCAACATTCACAAAGCTTGGAACGGAAGGTGTGTTATAGAGAAGTTTCACTGTAGTGCGGAAAGAGGGCAGCCGTTTGTTTATGGCACTGCGCTGCCCACGGTCATCTTTGTCGGCCCCACTGAATCATTGATTAAGAAAGTGTTGAGATCAACCGGGAGTGAGAACATCGGGATTTTGTTTCCGCGCGTGCAGCAGCAAAGGGATGGTCATAATTCTGGACTTTTCGCGATCGCATTCACTGCGGAACTCATTAGCAAAAAAAATGGAGAAGATGTCAAGTTTAATGTCCCATTGCAACATGCTACGTGCGTTAGAATCGCATCAACGGCGCGAAGGTCCATACGCTATTGCGGAATCGAACCCCCCCCCCCCACCGGGGCAGGAGAAGCCTCAAAAAACAAGCTGTTGCCATTGGCCCCCATTGACGGACGTAGACTAATGCGGAACAATAGAGGCAGACCGCGTCCTTCGGCATCGCTTCACTAACAAATAAAGAAAAATTGTGGAAAATCGCAAACAAGTAAAATCAATCAAGCTGGCGATTAGCGTCATCTGATCTGCAGGATCTGCATTATTCTGGATTTTCTGTTTATTGTTATTTTCTGTTTATTGTTTATTGTTTTCTGTTTATTGTTATTTTCTGTTTATTGTTTATTGGATTTATTAGGATTCTTAGGTTTTTCAGAATTCTTAGTTGTCTTTGGTTTTCTAAGGTTGTGTAGGACTGTTTACAAGAACAGTTGAATACTAACCATCTGTGCCAGGGGCCCAGGGCCCAGAATTTTCGTTCTCCGCGGCTAACTTGTCTTCCCCTTCATCCAATCTTCACAGAATAAAGGGCGTAAGATGTCTCTCAATGTCAAAATTTCCGTATATATATTATTCCTGAAGTCCAGTGGTCATTTGAAACTTTGCTGCCATGTATGCCGTAGACTTTAAATGAACTGATTCCATGATTTGACTGCACAGTACAGTACCTTTGGACTTCACCACAGATTTCAGTTCCGTACTTGCAGTATTCTGTACTGTTAGTGCGAATGCTCATTAAATTAGCCCTGATTACATTATTAATTTTTTGTTGTATTCTGGATTATTTACTGTTAGTTAGCATTTCGACTACAATGGTAACAAATGCTGTAACAGAATCCAAGCAGCTATTTTTAATGAAGCAAAATGCACCTAATCGATGCGGTATTTTTCCCCCAATAAAACGGTTATAAAAGTCGCAGTGCTGTTGTGAGCCAATATTCATCCGTGCTCAGCTTGTTTATTAATAAATGAGTTCAACAACTCAGTAACACACACATTCGGGTAAACTGTGACGACTTCTATGGCTATAATTTCGCACAGGGATTTAAAGTGCATTAATTAAAGTAGTAGTACAATAAAGAGCAGGACCGACTCTGTAACTTGTAATACAGAGTCGCTCTTGTAAAGAGCCACCTTGGAACGCGGTGCTAGCATTCGGTTTAGCTGCATATCGCTAGAAAGCACCAGGAAACTGGGTGCGCGAGTGTTCGTTTTCCCGTTCAAATGGCGTTTTTCCCCACAGGCCACAGGTACTAAAATACTTCAGTTCTCAGCTTGTGCGCGGTACCAAATACGCCTGTTCTCCAGTGTCACCGTACTGACAGAATCACAGAGATCGTGTAGTTCTTGGCCAACCACTGTACTAGTAACTTGAGTACTCGGAGTCGGATGATATGTAAATGCAGATATATATATTGTACAACAATATTACAGAAGTTGGCTTAGGAATGTAGGCACTGCTACTTCTGTATAAACTATTCATTATAATAAAATGCGGATATTTTTCCTTGTCTACCACCACCAACTC